AGACAGGGGAAACAATAGGAGAATTAACAGTACAAGAAGCGCAGCATGTGGTGCTAGCATAAGCAACAGGAGGTAGGAGGAGCTTGTAGAGATTGTGATCCAGTTTACAAGAACCAGAGGCATTTTCAGAAAAGGGACTTGTATAGCACAAAGAGTTCTGGTAAGCAGAATAATTCTATTGTATTGATCTAACAACTTATGAACAGAGATGAGATTATATTGAAAAGAAGAACATAAAGAATATGATGAATTATGAAATATGAAAATAAAGTCAAGGATCCTACTAACTGAACCTTTATCTTATAACCATTTGGAAGGGAAACCAGACAAGGCACATGTAGTGTTTGTAGATTAAAGAGTAAATCTTTGTGTGAGGTCATATGACCAGAGGCTCCAGAGTCTATAATCCAAATAAAACTATCTACTTGTGAAAGAATGCATGACTTGAGCAAAACACTTTCTGATAATAGCTTACCAGCAAAGTTAGCAGAAGCCATAGGAGTGGGAGCAGAGGAGGAGTTAGCAGAAACATGAGACTGTTGCAATAACATCATCAGCTGGGAGAATTGATCTTGAGTTAGACCAGAAACCATTGAAATATTACCAGACTCAGAAGACTTGACAGACTCAGGACCCATAGTGGAACCACTTCTGACTTGACAGACTCAGGACCCATAGTAGGATCCACAGTAGCAGGAGGACCAGGAGAAGCCACTTCAACATGAGTTGCAGCCTTTCTGCTGCCAGACCCCTTAGTGAACTTAAAATAAGGGGGATACCCATGTAATTTATAACACTTATCAATGGAGACCTGCCTTCTTACAGTATTTGTAGAGAGGGGATTTGTGAACATCAAAGATAACTCTGGAAGGAAACCCCTGTTTAGACACCCCAACATTGAAAGAAGCAGATCTAGGGAGAAATTGAGGAGAGGTAGAGACCTGTCTCTGTTTCTTATCTGACAACAGTATACTGTAGACAGTGCTCACAGAAAGAAATGGTTTAATCATGAATATGTTGCTTCTAGTATGTACATATGGATCATTTAGACCCATCAAAAATTGATATACCTTTTGGACATCATCATCCCTCTGGTAGTTAGATTTAAAACCACAATTGCTGTAAGATCTGACTCTACTAATTGACAAGGCATCAATCTCATCCCACAACTGCTTCATCTTATTAACATAAGAGGCAATATCAAGTGAACCTTGTGAGATATGAGCTAGTTCTTTCTTAAGCTTAAACACTCTTGCAGCATATACCTGACCATATCTTTCCTCCAACTCACTCCAAATATCTTTGGCAAGTTCAGAGTACTCAACATTACGAGCAATATCTCTGGACAGGGAGTTAGTTAATCATGAGACGACTAAATCATTACACATCTGCCGCTATCTCGCCACGGGAGAACTGTCAGGAGGTTTGACTAAGGATCCATTAATGAAATCCAACTTATTTATAACAGACAAAGCCGCAAAGATAGTTCGTCTCCAACTCCAATATCTAGTACCTCAAAAAGGACAGAAACCAACGAGAAACTCAACACATCAGATGAATGTACATAGAAGGGATGACAGGGGCGGGTATAATCATCTTCATGAAATACAGAATGAGAATTTGTAGGTCGAGAAGTAGAAAATACTGGGGAGAAGTATTATCATCCGGCATTTTGTACACAATTAGCAAAGAATAATACACGTGCAATCTACACAAAAAAAAACAAATTGAGATATCTAGGGTTACCAATTTCCTTCTCAGCCGAAAGGAACAACGGTCTTGGTATCCAGAAGAATGAATGACGAAGACACGATCTAACCCTAACTGAATGTGCAGCTGCAGAAATCACCAAAACCATAGGTTGACGAAGCTCCACACAAAAAAAGGGGAAAGTTCGACTAATCAGGAACTCGAGCAAACACCACCAGGAAACACTCTAATCCCAATGCCGCGATCGGAGAAACTCGTCGGAAATCATCAAAAGAAACGGACAACAGCGGAACAACAAAACTTCGACGAAATTACACAAGGGTAACATCGAACGAGAAGTAATCACCCGATCTATCCAAATTTGGGCTCTGATACCATGATAAAGTTTGGATTGAGGATAAACCGATGAAAAACTACTTAGGGTTGTTGTGGGTCGTTGAAAGAGAAAAAGAAAGCTTCTATATTTTTGTTAAAATGAACAAATGAAAATATCTCTCTTAATACAATAACAACCGCCAATCTGAGATGGACTCAGCCCAGTTTTATATTAAAACCACCTAATTAGCTAATGTAAGAAATAAATACAAGAGTGGGCTTCTGGGCCCAAAGTAAAAATAAGAGGCTCAAGCCAAAACTAAGTAACAACATTATCATATATCTCAACAGAACAAGGTTTACTGAAGAAGCCCTCCCAAGTTTCTCTGCAGAAAGACACAGTGTCTTGTGCTCTGAACTAAAACAGCTTTATGTTGCTATCACTCGAACAAGGCAAAGATTATGGATATGTGAAAGTTTAGAAGAATATTCCAAGGCAATGTTCAATTTGAATACTGGAGACTTTCGTGTCTAGTGGATATAAAGGAGATAGATGATTCACTTGCACAAGTTATGCAAACTTCAAGCACTCCGGAATTGTGGAAGTCACTAGGACTGAAGGTTAAGCTGATTTACCTTGTTCAATTGCTATTCATATGTTCAAACTTCATTCTTGTGTTGCAATATGTACCTCTGATATTAATTGGCCCTTATAAAGTGCTTTGATGTTATCATGCAGCTCTTTTGGGACAAAAGCTATGAGATGGAAAGCATGTGTTTTGAAAAAGCAGGCGAAAAGATGTGGGAGGAAAGTGCAAAGGCAGCTAGTTTAATTTGAGGGCAGCTGCTGAGCGGATTCGCGATTCACATCCTGAAAAGACGCGCACCAAACTATGTGAGAGTCCTGACAAGTTTTATTCTGCTGGAAGGTTTCAGTCAGCAGCAGAATGTTTTTGTGACTTGACGGAGTATGATCATGCAGGTAACACATGATGCTTTTCTTGGAAAAATTGCCTTCACTTTAATAAGAGTTTTTTACTTGATGTGCGTTTTCTTTCCCTCTTCAATGCTGTAGTGTTTTTAATATAGAACTTTCCAACATTTCCATTTCTTAAGGACATACAATCTAGTTTTGAGCTCTAGTAATATACATCCCAGAACACATTTTAAGGGATAATGAACTGTACTTCTATGCTAGGTAGACCTGTAGGGACTTATTACTTAAGTTTACATTCTCTTATTAGAAGTGCGTAAACAAATTTTCTTTTATATTATATATGGCTTTTGTTTCGTGGATACCGTGGTTTACTTTTCTATATTGTTGTTGGAGGTAAGAATAAAGTACCAAGAATTTTCCAGTTTTTATGGCTGCTACCCCTCACAGCACATAAATTATGAATTAATGTTGTCACAATTTTTCTAATCATGAAAATTCTGCATTTTTGTTCTTCCTCTTTTTCTTTTACCTGGAGAACCTGCCAACTTCAGGTTGTTATTTGACTTTATGTTTTCTTTATATCATATGCAGTTATACTGGTGTAGGAAAATATAAATTGATTGATGCATAATACAAGGGGATATAGTTTGATTGATGTATAATACTCAGGATGATTAAGGCAAGTGGATGTTATAGTGGTAATCAATATTAATAATTGAAGAATTTTTAGGGACAAATAAGGATATGTTTCAAAATAAGATTCCTCATTAATAGGGAATCTACCATATTTTTAGAGTGTATCTTTTATATTTTGTTGTAGAATTTGTAATTCTAATAAAAGTTTTAGATTATGGAATATTTTATAAATTCATAAGTAACTAGGAAAATTTTGGTTTTAGACTTTTTATCCCACCAATTTTATTTAAGACCAAAACCCTAGAGCCTTGTCCCAAGAGCTCGGGAGTTTGTCTCTCCATCTCTTTTCGAATTCTCCATTTGTTGTAAGTTCATTCTGTCTCTTATTTCTCCGTTGATTTTTGGTGGGTGAAATTAAGGAAACCTTAATAATTGTGTGTTTCCTTTTTGTGATATTTACTGATTAATTTGCAGTGTTATTAGCTTCTCTCGTGATAATGGCTGAAAACCAAAATCCTTGCAAATTTGGAGCGAAATAAAGGAAAACGAAAACAAAGAAAATCTACGGGTTTGTTAAAAGTAAAATTTTCGTTACTTGTATTAATAAAAAGTTGTTATTGTTGTATTGTTAGTGTTCAGTTCCTGGCTTCCTGCGTTGAAATTTGGCAAAGTTCAATTTCAGTTGTAAATTCCAAACATCTGGTTATGTTTTCTAGTGGCTAAACAATGGATTCTTCAAATTATACCCTTTTCATAAATAAGAATATGTAAGACAGGTTTTTGAATTCAGTGCAGCTGAATTTATCAAGTCGTACTTTTGTACTCGACCTTCATCAACCCTCATCCTTTAGTTGAGCTTCACATAGAATATGTAGCACAAATAGAAAGAGTTAGTTAGTCGATATCTCTAATATTATCCTTTTTCTGTTCTCACCAGGAAGTGTGAGAGTATGATAGTTGCGGATGAATTGGGCATGATGAACCCAGAGCATGAGGATTACGAACCAGAAACGGAATCAGAAAAAGAAGATGAGCAAGTTGTAAAGTTGGCTGAACCTTCAAAGAATGCTGTATATAACTGGGATGGTTTATTTGACAAGCTGAAAGATATCGGTTGGCCTGATGGTTTGGATTGGAGTCACAGGCCAAGGAGGAGGAGCAAGTAGGAGTGGATTTGAATGATGATTGTGCAAGGGATCTCTCTTTCTACATGCAGGCGTTGGAGAGGAGGAAGGCCAGAGAGAACAAGAATATATTTATTTAAAATAAATAAGGTGTTAACCTTTGCTATAGGAGGTATAAATTCCAAAAAATTATCGAACTAGTTAGCAGTCTCTAGTTAAGTTGCTTTACAACTGCAAGACCATAATTTATTTATTCTCGTGTTTAGCTATATGTTTAGTACCATCACTTAAAAAGTCGGTATCTATTTCTGCCTTTTAATTTGTTTTACATTCTGAATTATCACTGCATATTCTCTATAATTCTGATAAGTACAAGCACATAAAAAATTCACTTCATGACCACCCTCTTTAACTTCAACAACACAGATAGCAACTTTCCATACAATGTACTCTTTATGAAGAAAAAAACAATTCATCTACATTACAGTACAGTATCTGATATCGGGTAGTTATTCACAGGTGTAATTTCCTGCCAGAAACAAAAATCAAATGCAAATTAGAGATAAAACCTAGTGAATAATGTTGTCAAGAGATCAATGCACTACTTTTCATCCATAATTTCTCAAATATCCTTATGATATATTGATGGGTTAAAAAATGCCCTGTATTATCGCATTCATTTATTCGAACAAAACAAACTCCAAAGGGAATCTAGTTCCCAAAAACTATTTCTTGTAAAAATAAAGAGAACGAAAGAGTTAATGCTCATCAAAACCACCAATATTTTGATTCAATAAGAGGCTGGTCTACTAAGATATGAGGTTTAGCACCTATTAAGCCTTATCACAAGCCAGCTTACAAATGCATATAACCTATGAGCTTAGCAGGATAAACGCTCTCCTTTGACATACTCTCTCTCTCTCCTTCTGTAACTAAGACAACACACATAAAAACAATCCCTCTCCCCCGCCCCCGGAAAAGGAGAACTGGAAAACAACCTATACTTCCGATTTGCTGACAGCAAATTTTATCCATTTTGTACCACTGTGTACATTAAACATGAACATCAGAAGTGCATATTTAACATAACATGATTCCCCTGCTACATATTCTATTTGATCCAAGGTGCACAGATGAGTATGATATCATAGTAATGAAGTTCTCTCTTGGAAGCTGCTTAATGAAAGATTTTTTTACGTCACCTTTTATGAACGATATCACTATTCATTAATATCTTCATTGCATCTCTCGAGGAAGCTGCTTTTTCATTCTAGGATTCTGAACTTTATGAGGGAATCACCTCTTATATATTATCCACAAAAATAAGACACGCTTTAAAATCCAAAGCCTTTGCCCCCAAGGCTTTGGTCTAGTAGTAAAAGTGCAGCGCCTAATGTGTGGGTTAGACGCATATCACGCGTTCGACCTACCAAACACAAAAGCTTGGTATTTAAGTGGAAAAGGGTCGAGAGGCGGGCACATCATCCACCGAGTTTCAAACCTTGCGCTATTTGCCCTCGGGGAATTCTCAGTTATCAAAAAAAGGTTCAAAGCCTTACGAATCTGAAATCTAGTTATCACTTACCAATACGGGTGAAGCTTTTTCACTAGACATGAAGATAATGGACTTCATTTTCCTTACAGAATAAGTATATTAACTATTCAAGTTTGTGTCGGATTTCAATTTGATGTGACGCATCGCACCATACTTGAAACAGTTCCAAGCAATTCAACTTTTTATACTAGAATACGGTCTGTAAATAATTATAACTGTATCATCAGTGTTGTATGCTCAAAAGTGTCCAGAAAAGGAAATAGCAAGCAAGTAACAGGAAAGAGGAAGAAAAAACAACTGGTCGAAAAGAGAAAAGTTGTTGTAGCTGAACTGACTGTCCACTGCAGAAATCAATTCGTAAAAGGAATTTAGGATTTTGCAAAGATAATGTGAGCTAGACAAGCCTATTTAGATTTGGCCGAATCCAAAATCTAAAGATAGTACTATGGCTCCAAACATCTTTCTAATTGTAAGATATCAATTCATCAGTTTTTGAAGGAAATGGCTTAGTACATTGTAATTGTAAGGATTACAAGATCTGACTGAAAATGGTAAATAGCCTTGTCGATTAGTTCTCATGTCCTTCCTAGTAAAACATTGCGTGTTCGAAATTTAATCATTTTATACTGAGAAAGCGGGACCACCGTCTAAGCCTAAGTACTCTTCCATATCTGATAATGTACATACACGACGGGAATTAAAAAGACCATATTTAGAGTGATAGAGAACCTATGATGCAACCAGAACAGTCAATCCACGAGCGGAGCATATATCCTTTACTTTGTGTAAAGTGCATTCTGATCGGGTACCAATCAAGATGAGATAAAGCTATCTTTCGCAAAATCTATGTAAGTAGGGTGTATGAAGTCAATGGCCCGAGCCAGAGCACTCAATGGTCTAGGGTGACCACTTTCACTTAGGTGAAACAATACGTTAAAATAGAAGTAACTAGGGAAAACAAAAAGATAAATTTCATTTTCAAAACTCCGCGTGCATACCCAATCCAAACTTAGGTGAAACAATACGTTAAAAGGGAAGTAACTGGCGGCGCAACCACAACTTCCACTCCCTTTCCCCTCATTAGTTTTTATCAGTTTTACATCTAACAGCTTCAGAACAACTTCAAATGGCAGACACAATCAAGGGCATCAGCAGCCCAAAAAAATGAAAGACAATAAACCGAAAGAGATTGTAGTTCATACAAGTCACTAAGTCAAATTCGGCACCGCATGTGATGTCCCGCCTCAGAGAAATAATCGAATAAAAGCGAGCAAGGTAAAATGAATTTCACAAATGATAAACAACGCACTCATAGATCAAGATAAAAAGTACTACAAGATTATCAAAGAGAATGATGAATCCTTTTACCTGTATAATTCAGACTTCTGGCGAAGAACCACTTACGCAAGTACTAGCTCAAATGTCAGACATTTGATGATGTCCTGGATTCCACGGACCAATTTGTAGGTATGCCGGGATCAGGGGTTGGATGAGGAAACGTATCTTCATGCACATCTGATACAGGCTCAGAGCATTTTTTCCTTTTGCTGTACTTTAACAAACAGCGGTCCTCCTGCGCAATGCAGCTTTCAGCCTGCGTTGTATTTTTTGCACAAATCTCGCCAACAGTATTATCTCCATCAAAACTCAAGGGGCACAAGGTGATAGAATCCTGCAAATGCAAGTTATGCTGTGAACCTTCTCGCTGAGAAACTCGAAGACCACAAAAATCTCTACAGTCATCACCAAGATTGTGCTCCGCTTTAATAAGGTCAGATAAACCAACCCTTTCTTCGCACATCTTCCTCTTTAGTCTGCTCCGCTTGTAAGTAAGTAACTCAGGTTTTGAACAATCAGAATCAACACTAGAACCATGCTCCTTCATTGTAACACGTGGTGGGGCCTCTGAACTAGTCTGGCCGACTTTTTCCTTCAACCTAGTGCGAGAGTACACCATAACACAAGGAGGGCCATCTGAAGTAGTCTGGCCGACTTTTCCCTTCAACCTAGTGCGAGAGTACACCATAACACAAGGCAGGGTCTCTGAAATAGTCCGGCCAGCTTTTCCCTTTAATCTAGTGCGAGAGTACACTATAACACAAGGCTGGGTCTCTGAACTAGTCTGGCCAACTTTTCCCTTTAACCTAGTGCGAGAGTACACCTTAAGCCTCTCGCCTGGATCATTAGAGAGAGTTTGGCCTAACTCTAACAATTTACGGGACACATTGCTCGATTCCAGCATTTCTGGAGTATCCACATAGCTGGAATTCGTAGGGCATAAGGTTCTTGAAGTTCGTGGCGAGCTGTTCATGGCGCGATGCAATTGAAACGCCAACTCTGCGTCATTTACAACCTCAGTTTCATTAGTATCATCACTGCTTATACTACTGCTTTTCAGCAACACTTTATCCTTATCCTTCTTGGAAGCAACTAATTCCGATGCATTGTTCTTATTCTTAGCATTGTTCACGGCATTTTTTGCCACGACAGCCTTTCGCAAAGTCTTATACTGCGCTTCCAGCGCCAGTACAACTGTCCTTTTGGCTTCAAAGTTAGTAATTTCTTCAAATGATTTAACATCACTACTAGTATAATTCTGTGTCTTTAACACATGCTTTTTAAAAAACCCAATTGATTTCCTAAAGAATGTTGGAACCCAACAATCTATACAAACCGTAAATTCCGACTTTACCCCTTCTTCTTCTTCTTCTAAGCCCCTAGAAGAATAAGACCAAGGTGCAGAATTCCCATACCTGATAACACAGTCCTTGTGGACACGCCTTTTGCAGCTGCTACATTTGAAACAATCAGAATCGGCCGTGTTGTTGAAACAGTAAGGGCATGTTTGGCCGGAATTAACACTCCTGATGCACTTCTTGCAAAGAAGGACTATCCGCCAAACGCTGTCTAGGGTTTGAAGGCGGTCGCTGGGATCAGTGTGGTTGATTCGGAGACGGCAGCCGTGACAATCTGACAAATTGGCCAAGTCCCTCGTGACCCTTTTGGGCAATTGATCAAACGCGGATGATGATGATGAAGTCGAATTTGTGGAGTGAATTGGAGCGAAATTTTTAGGGTTTGTTGAAGGACTAGCGGTGGCAAGTGGTGGTGGAGGTGGCGGTGGACGCGGCGGAGGATGGCGGAAAGATTGTCTGTTTTCTGGATGGAGCGAAGGTGTCATCTTCAGGAGATCGTTAGGTTTTTGCGCCATAACCGTATTTTCTCATCGTTTCGAGTGGTAGGTTCACATAAACCGGCCGGACACAGTACTAACTCATCGTTTGAATACATCATCATTTTAACTCAGTTGGGTGTTGGTTTAGTTAAAAAAAGAAAATGAAATGCAAATATCATTTCATGAATAGTATAAGTTACTTATAAAAATAGTATTTTCGATTACATGTTTATAAGAGTGCTGAAGAGCAAATATTTCCTAATAATTCAGTCCTCAGTGCCTTAAATCATCCAAATGTTGGATACGATGAAGTATATTCTGGAGGTTTGAATTGTTGATTAAGTGATTAAAGTGGAGGGTCATGAATAGAGAAAGTGTAAATGTATACGAGGATCTTTCGATATCAATCGTGAGTTTATTCCTAATGTAGCTCAAGCACAAAGGGATGTGAATTAATTAATAAGGATGTGCGCAAGAAGGAAAATACAAGAGTTATAACATAGGCTTTTTGATCCGGAAAATGTTAATGACAGGTTACAGAAGATAGATTAATATGACATTATACAAAATCTAAGAACTATGTATAAGGTAAAATTGGGATGCTATATTAGGAAATGAGATGTTTAACGGTAGTGATTGAAATTTTGTCAAATATCCAATTCATAAATCCTTTTGGGATTTCCTTAGGACACTGGGGATTGAAATAAGCTTAAACATTTTTTACCCATAAATGATGACTTGCTAAGAGAATGGGGGATGGGTTGTCTGAATTTGTCCTTCTGGAGAATGAGAATGTGGAACATATGTTATTTAGTTGCCCTTGTTCTCAACTTGTGTGGAAATTGAGTAAGAATAATTAGGATGTTTTGGAGAACATTTGGTGACCTTTTCGTGTGCTGGTATCTGTTGGTCTCAAATACTAAGACTTATTTTATAAATCAGCACAGATACACATTTTGATTGTCATAGTTTTAATTTTTATGTTACATACAGGTAATCAATGTATAAAAAGAACAGAATGTAAAAATGATCATGCACGTTGTTTGACCAAAACGTATTAACTTTCGGTTAAAACGATTATACTTATATAATGACGGATTAAATCTAGTTAATGATAATATCTCTAGATGAGAGTTCCAAGAATGCGGCTAACATTAGACAGATCTAGTGGGGGGTTGGCAATAGCATTCATTAAATATTCCAAAGGTATGAGCAATAATGGAGAGATAATTGACAATAAATAACAATAAATAGCATTTAAGTAAATAGGAGAAGTGATTCACCCAATAAAGGATGAACTAGATGATTGTTCCTCCTAACAATGATGAGTGATAGAAAATCCTAGAACATTCGAAATATTCTCGGATCTGGTGAAAAGATGTGGAATAATATGAACAAGAATCTTGATAAAAAGGCAGTGTTTGTATCTTTATCTGAGAGAATCTTTACCAGAGATCTGTTCTTAACAAGTGAATGTCACATGCCTCCACTTTTTCTCTTTATATGGGATATACCCCAACAAACCTTAATAGTACAAGTCCAGAGAATATCCAATGGAATATTCTCTTTAATGTCTTATTCTAAAGAAACTAGCCATTATAGCTCCGTCTGTGGTGCTCGACCTCGACCATTGTTGGCACCTCGTGTGAGGCCCCGTAAAATTTTTGGCTCATAAACCAGAATCTTGTGGTGTCGGCTCCGAACACGTGTTAGGAATGTGTAGAATTCTTCGCGGCTCGCAAGCTCGCCGCGGTTCGGAGCCTTGGTATTGATCTAAGCTTGTAAAAATCAAAAGAAATCAATTTTTCCAGAAAATGCTATTATGCGGTCAAGAATGCGGTCGCAGATCCGGTATGCGGACCGCATTCCTAGCGCATAGTGAAGCAGTGGTTTGGTTAAAACTTGAGGTCAAGATGCTGTCCAAAATGCGACCGCATAATTGATATGCGGACCGCATTTCTACCGCAGAGTGGAACAGTAGAGTTGTCAAAATTAATATTGAAAATGCGGTCTATTATGCGATCGCATAACAAATATGCGGACCGCATAGTCGTCGCATATTCTCCTTTGAATTTTGTGAATATCAGTTCTGCGGTGCACTATGCGACCGCAGAACATGAATGCGGACCGCATTCCTGTCGCAGACCCAAACAGAATCCTCAAAGTTTTGGGGGCAATTCTGCGGTCCAATCTGCGGACCGCATTTCAACTCTGCGATTGCAGAATGCGATCGCAGATCTTGCTCGGTTTCTATTTTTCTAAATTTTAAAACCCGACCCCTTTTTGTAATAAAACACCGAACCCCTCATTCTTTAACGATCTTCTACACAAAATAAGAGAGAGGAAGAGAGGGTCTTGAGAGAGAAAGTCATCTCCTCCAAAAATTTGATTCTTCAAAGCTATCCGGGCCGGGAAATCTCAAACTTATCTTCATCCCCTTTCTCTTGCAGGTAAAATCCCTAACCCTTTTCATTGAATTTCAGGTTTAAATTAGGGGGGGGGGGGAGTCTCATGCATTGGTTCTTGGAAATAATAGCAAAAATTGTGCATGCGTATTTATTAAAACCTAAAACCTAGTGGGGGTAATTGGGTGGGAGCAAAGACTTATGCAAAGAAGGGATTGATAACCTAAGTATGTTCGGGTAGTGGTTTTGAACCTTGAATTCTAAGTTACGAGTATTAATTTGTGCACTATATTGCCGTTGCTAGATTTTAGGTGAATTGGAAGTAGAAATTAAAAAGGGATTCAACTCCAGGTATGTATGGCTAACTTTAACCTTTGTAAAATCTCCATGCTTGGTGTCCAAATACTTGGTATGTGATATCTTCATGGATTAGTTGTGAAGTTGAACTCTTGTGAGTAGTATGTGTTTTCTTGTGTAAACCATTTGTGAATTCATGTCAAAGTTGTGCCTTAAACGTTGTTGGTTAAGACGTCCGATATGGTTGTGTAAGTAAATGGCAATAAACCAAGTTGTAATTGCGAACGTGTTATGTGGTAAGAACCGTGGAATAAATGATGGAAAGGAATCGAAAAATTGGTGATATTGAAATAACTGTGGTAACACCCTTTGTGGCTAGCTGTGGAAAATTATTGCTGTGATTTAAATGGTACAACGGGCTGTCGAAAAAGATGGAAATGGCATTGATAGTCATATAAACTCTGTGTGAGTTGTGTTGTTGTTCTTTGAGATGTGTGGCTGTTGTTATTGGGATTTGTTGTCGTATCTCCTGAAACTTGTTGCTGTTCTCCTTGTAAATTGTTGTTGTTGTTGTGCTATTGTTTATGAATTGTGATTGTTCGGTGGGATCGGGTTGCGCGCCGCAACACGAAGTAATAAGGTGAGGGTTGTAGTGATAAGGGTGGCCGAGGTAATAAGGGTGGCCGAGGTAATAAGGATGGAAAGTGATCGATATCACTATTGAAATGAAACATGAGAACATTGTGAAATTGAGAATGTGGAAATGATGATGCGGAAAAGGAGAGATTGTCAACTTGTTTGCCTTGATTGTTTTTCCTTGTGTGTATTCAATTGTTGTTTCCCTCTATTGTTGTTATTCGTGTATGGTTTGAGGTTACTCTGGGTAAAGTTTGTTATACATACCAGTACAATTCAAATGTACTGACGTCCCTTTTGCCGGGGGCGCTATATTCGTGTTATGATTGTAGGTGGATCCGTAGCAGGTACTCCAGTCCACCGATCGTAGCTCCCCTTCGTCCTCCATCAGCTTTTTGGTGAGCCCCGTTCCTCTCGGGGTCCTGCGTGGCTCAGGCCGCTTGTTTTCGGAGTTTTATTTTTGATTTGTGTAAGGTATAGCCGGAGCCTTGTTACCGGCTAATACTATATTATCCTGTTGTACTATTAGAGGCTCCGTAGACAGTAGATGTGGGTTAGAAACTTGTGTAAATCCGTGTTTTCATACGTTGGTAACGAGTTGGTGATTTCACTACTATTATGTAAGTATGTATGTGTTTTGTAAATTGAAAAGTGTTCTTAACTAATTATTTGGCAAATCCTTGGAATATCTGAGTAAGGAAAACGTGGGGTAACATGTGGGTTAGGAAAGGCATCCAGGTTCGCTTGGCTGGGGCTATCCGGTCGGGCGCCGGTCATGTCCCTCGAATTTGGGGCGTGACACCTCGGCCCCGATCTCGCTGCTTCCTGATCGACCTCTACTGACTCTTTTCTCGATATTACTTTGCTCTAAATATTCTGAGATAGATTTCGACCTATACACAGATAATTACTAATTAGTGAACTTTTAGAACGATGGTCTAAAGTTATCAACAAAAAATGAATTATTTAAAAGTAACAATAACCAAACTTTTGCCAATCCAAAGCTCAAAAAGATTAAAGGTCCGTTAAGCGCCTCAAGGCTATGACATAATAGATTTAAACAATTGCTTCGTATTAACTTTCAAATCATAATTGCTCTAATAAATAACTAAAGAAAACAAATTGATGGAAGATAGAAAAATAGAAACAAAACAAACTAATTATAGAAATAACTATCTCTAAGCTTCATTAATTATTTGACTGTTGGCAGGTCTCTTGTTATGTGTTGTCCGGAAAAAGGAGGACTCAATGATTATTTATTCGCCAGAACCAGAAGTTAAAGTTTTGGCAGATAGGGCTTTTACCTTTCTATACACTATTTGAAACCTTATTACCCTTCCTACTCATGTTTCAATTTAATTAGATTGTCATATACAATTTACCAATTATATACAAATAAGTTTTAAATGAGTATCCCTTTATATTAGGAATTAAATAAGGAATACCAGTTATTTCCTTATCCCTTTATACTTGCCCAATCTCTCTCTCTCTCTCTCTCTCTCTCTCTCTCTCTCTCTCTCTCTCCCTCTCTCTTTCTCTCTCTCTCTCTCTCTCTCTCTCTCTCTCTCTCTCTCTTTCTCTCTCTCTCTCTCTTTCTTCGTCTCTCTACTCTCATTCTCTGTTTTTTCTCCCAATTTTTCTTCATTTGATGTTCTCTGCTTTGTTATGCTTTCTTGTTGTATAGAGTTTTAATGGAATTCATCAATGGATTTAATCGTTTTAACTTAGCAATTTCCTTTCATGTTGCACAATTTGTGTTCAAATTGAAATTGTCAATCAATAAATTTTGAAGGTGTTTGACTCTCCACCATTGACAGCCATTAAAAAGCTTTGAAGCTTTGAAATCGAATTTGAATTTTCAAAAACCATTATTTGTTTGGATTGGATGTTGTTGCAAACAATTGACAATATTGTTTAGAGTTTACATCTCAATTTTGAGGGTGTTTTGGTGAAGATTAGACTTGATTTGGCTGAATTTCAGATTGAAACTCGAAGAAGAAGAACACATCACATACAATATACTTATGAAATTGTAGTAAAGTTGTATTATAATTGTATGTAAATTGTATTCTGTTGTAGTTATATATATATATATATATATATATATATATATATATATATATATATATAAATTAAAAAATTATAACGTATGAATCGTTTTATATTTAAGTTATCAATACTATCTTCTTACATAAAGTTGTTAATATGTATCAAAATTGTATTAA